GTTCTGTCAAAAATGAACTATCCCTGTGTTTTCTTCTATCCGCGTTAAATCCCACGAGTCACAATATTGGTAACAACACATTTTAGTAGCATGAATCTTTTAAAAAATATAATTATTTCCCTGCTGTTCACACACCCAGCAGGCATGCGGGAGAGCATCCGAGTTGGTTGTGTGGTACATCTTGTTGCCCCGGGTATGTCAGTGGGACAGGAGAGGACCTCTCCTTTTATCACGGATTTTTCCTTCCGGTATCTATCATACATGACGGCACCCTGCTCCAGCAGCAAGAACTTATCCACCAGCTTTCACAGAAAGGATAAAGGTCTGAGGGGCTCCTGGGTCCTGAAAGGGCCATAAAATCACCATACTTATATTTATCATTTCCATTTGTCTAATATTACTACATACTATACTGATGATACTGATTTCAGTTCCTTATACATATAGTAATTCAGAAAATGAAAGCTGAGTTAACAGGTTGAATATGGACAAGTTTTCCTTGTTAAAATCCTGTTAAGTCACCTTAGTCGTACGATACAGTGTGCATAGTCAAAATGGAACCTTTCTAGTGTTTTCTATCCCACAGCTTGAGATGGTTTTCTTTTGATCCACTGCCACATTTTGTCGTACTTGAAGAATACGTTAATGACAACTGATTATGTTCTGGTTTGCTTATAGTAAGTGATAAATAAGTGCATGCCAGGTTTAATCTATAATAGTAGTAGTAAGCTATACGATGCAAGGTACATAATTCTATTTATGACAAGATATATCATAACTCACATTATGCTGTCTCCTTTGACATGTCACTGACGGCACGCCCATGCGGCTCCACCGCTGTTCCTGGTCCATCATCAGTGATTTCAGGGGACTTACAACAACTGTTATGTGAAGCTGGCCAGGGAAAGGACTCTCCCCCGCCCAAAACTTCTTAGAGAAATCCTTACCTGGCTGTGTCCTTCTTGTGGACCACGTAGTTGAGAACGGGGCTTCCTCCATCGTCCTCTGGTGGCTCCCAGTTCAGGATGGCGTAACTGTTGGTGATCTCATCTATGTTCAGCTTGGTGGGCGGGCCGGGCTTGGCTGTGGGGTTAGAACAAGTAACAGTCAAACTTTGGGTACACTCTTCAATAGTCAAAGTATGTCCCATGTGCTTAATAAAGACAGTTTTTAACATCTGTATAACAGTTGTGTATATTTACCTAGCAAGGAGCTACCTTTTTCTTGTAAGTGTTCAGGACTTTTTTGACGACGTGTATGACAAAACAGCCCATTCTTGGACATTTCCAAATGCCTGTTTTTGTCTGTCTCCCTAACTTGAGTGATGAAGAATTATTTGTTTCATGTAAGTATTGAGCGTCCCTCCCACGATATTACTGCTTTTGTGAGTGGTGTGACATAAGAATCCGTCCCTTACTGCTAAGTACTAACTGACATTACATGATGTTACAGACTGTTTTTGTGAGTGGTATGAAGATGACGTATTTTTCCTTTTTTTCTGATTTTTCATCTTCATTCTATGATGTTATAGACTGTTTATGTCAGTGTTATGACATAAGAATCAGCCCCTTACCCAGCACATTGACGTTGATGGAGATGGACTTCTTGCCAGCCTTGTTAGACACGGTGATGACGTACTTCCCACGGTCCGAGCGCCGGGCATTCATCACTTCCAGACGTGCCTTTGGCGCGTCAACAGTCATGATCACCCTAGGGAAACACATTGAATTTTTAGACTGCTCCCTGTGTAAAGTTTTGGTTGCACAACATGATGACCTTAAGGAAACACATTGAACTTTATGATTGCTCCCTGTGTAAAATTTCGGTTACACGACATGATGACCTTAAAGAAACACATTGAACTTTATGATTGTTCCATGTCACATTTAGGTCAGACAACATGATTACGCTAAGGAAAACACACTGAACTTTAAAGTTGAAAATGAATCTTTCTGTGGGTCCAACATAGGCTAATAAATGCTAGATAGTTTAATCAATAAACAGAATACTACAAGCTGCAATGCTCGTATACAGCCACTGCCTCACCTCTCGCTAGCCTCCAGAACCCTGGCAGTCATGCCGATGGCGGGGGTAGAAGCACGGGAAGAGCGCGGACTAGAAGCGTAAAGCAGCCATTAAAGCGAGTTACAGCAAAGCACTAACACAGCAATGAATCATAACATTGGCATAAACATAAGAATCTCTAAAGCTGACCTAACAGAACACATACTATACACGTAGCCATCTCATTATTACACTAGAAAAACAGCAACTACAACAAAAAATAGCTTCTAACATCTCATTATCAGCATCAAGCTTTGTAGGTTCTACTATGAAATACTTGAAAGTGTATCATTCTTTTCCTTATGCTTTTGCAAAAACTTAGTAGCAACTGCTCTATTAAGTAGCAATGTTGGTATAATTGCACTCAAACAAAATCAAAATTGGGTCAAGTATCCCATAATAAGCATTAAGAGGGCACCAGCTTTGCAGAATTTGCTCTACTTTTAGATAACCCCCAATAGTTAGCACCCAGTATGTAGATCTGTGCCTAGTTAAAAGATCTAATAGCCCATTTCCCACCTTTCGCCGTCAGGGGGAGTGTTCTTGTCTGTGGCCCATCTCATAGTAAGCATTACAAGTGTACCAGCTTTTTCAAGAATTTCCTCTAGTATTACATAACCCCCAATAGTTAGCGCCCAGTACGTAGATCTGATTAAAGGATCTGATAGCCCATTTCCCACCTTCCTCCCTCAGTGAAGGCGTTCTCGTCTGCGGTCCAGGTGACCTGCAGGTCAGGCTTGCCCTTGATGCGGGCGCCGACGTCGATGGTTGTTCCCTCCTTCACCGTGATGTTGTCTCCCAGACGCAGGTCAATGTTACAGTCAGGTTGTTCTGAACAGGACAAAATTGGTCAGAGAATTGCTGTTGCATTCAAGAAATGCATACAAGAAAATACCTATAGCTAACAGAAATGTGTAACAGAAAGAATTGCCCATCAGAAAATTGCTGAAACACATTACAGCATCAGAATATGTTATTAAAATTTATCTTCCAGAAGCTTAAAAATACAAGTATAGAAAATCAGTCAGAAAACTTCTGATGCACAATATACCATCAGTTACTGTACATTTTATAGTTCAATCTTACAAAGACATAAAAGTATAGATTCTTAAATTGTTTCTTCTGATTCCACAAAGGCTTCTTGTTCTTTTGTACAATTAAAGACACTGACAAACTTACTGTTGTGTAACAAGTATAGAAACCGTTCCTTCCAGCCAGTTAGCTCCACTAACTTAATGGCTAGTGCTTGTTCTCCAAAGCATTCTTTTTACAATAAGAAACACTGCTGAACTTGTATTTACTACTGGCCCATTGTTCATTTCAAAATCAATGGCAAGGTCCATAGCAGTCTTGAGGCTGAAATGGCAGACTCATGGCAAGAGTGACTAACTATATCAATACACTACCAGATCAGATCCATGCAAACAATACATCTTCTGTACAATAGTAAGTTTTGGATACAGAACTCCTAGAGTATGCCAACACCTCATCACTTTTAAGTACAAGAGTAAGGATGAAGATGATTCAGGTGTGTAGATGAAGAACTTACCGATCTCGTCCTTGACCTGGACAGCCCGGGTGTTGTTGTACTTGCCGGTGCCGACCTTGTTCTGAGCGGCGACCTTGAACTCGTACTTGTCGTTCTCGATGAGACTGGTGACGATGAAGCCAAGGTCCTTCAGGACGTAGTCGTTGCACAAGTTCCAGTCATCAATGTCATCCTGAAAAAACACAAAACAGAGATGTCAACACTTAATCTTATTCCTATCCTAAGTTTCATGCTGCTCCAAGACACCTTCCACTAGTAAACATTACTACAAGAACTTTCAGCACCAAGGACAGGGCAAGTTTACAATTAGATGTTTTGCATTCACTTGTCTACAGTTTGCACTTCAACTAGCTGAAGGATTTGGTTAGTGTAATCTTGTAGTAACAAATGCCATCCTTTTGATGTTTCAGCACCAAGGACAGGGCTTCCTGCTGCCTAACCCATAACCAGTAGAAAATTGGTAGCCAGATGGCCACTATGTGGTGAAATTTCTTCCACTTTTCTGCTCTACACATACTGCCTTATCTCTATCTAAAGAAATGTACAGATACCATTATATTTTTGCCTATTTCTTGATACTTCCTTTGACTGCTTGTGTGATGTGAACAAGTAAGTATATTATTATACTACTATCAATGAATGTTCAGGTTTTGTTTGTTGATATTTACGTTGAGGTTTCGGCTCTCCACGATGTAGCCAGTGATGGGGGAGCCGCCGTCGTACTTGGGTCTCTTCCAGACCAGCTCCACTGTCTTCCTGGTCACTCGGGTGATGTCCAGGTGCTCAGGCATGTCTGGGGGAACTGGGGACAAACACAGGAATAAAGTCAGTACTTGACAATGCATGTGCATTGCATGGAGTGTGTGTTATACCAGCTCAGTAAACAAGAAGGTTCACAAAGATTCAGATGAATACTAAATTGAAAACACCTACGGTTCTTTTTCATTTTGTTCTCATTTTGTGTCATTAGCATATTTTCACTTGAAACTAAATCACGCAAATCTGCATATAGTAAGAACTGATCCAGTGACTTTAGAAGATAATTAGGACATTAAAATTTTCAAAAGAAAATGATGTTTTCAACCCAAACTTTGTAGGTTTGGTTGGGTTTGGGTTGTAGTTTGGCAGACTCCTGCAGTCTGAAATATGATGTAAAATTTCTCTGCTTAGCACTCAGCACATATGAGAAAGAGTGTGGGAAGGTCAAACACACAGCATTACCAGCGGACCAGCCCCCTGCTGTAGTGCATTGCACAACTGTGTGTCGCCCAAGGGCTACAGAAATGGACATGGGCACCAAAACCCTATGCTCTGACATGAGCTATGTTTGCTTACCAATAGGATCTGAGGCAGTAACAGGTCCGTCAGTTTCTATGAAGGGTCCGATGCCGTTATATATTACATACAAGACTATGGATGAGTCAATTTATACTACTTGTTCTAAAGTCTAAACATATATAAAGTTTGACATGAGCTATGTTTGCTTACCGATGGGATCTGAGGCAGTAACAGGTCCGTCTGTCTCAATGAAGGGTCCGATGCCATACTGGTTCTCAGCAGCCACACGGAACAGGTACTGGTAATCCTTCTCCAGCCTGGACACAACAATGTTTGTCCGGGCCACGTTGGAGCTCACCTGGGGGTGCAGGGTAAATATGTCAAGGTTTAAGTTGTCTTGTTGCACAATGTAGGTCCATTTTATGAGGCAATTAGTGTTAATGAAACTCGTTGGAACTTGTTTTCAGTATCCTGGGGGTTGAGAACCAAGAAAGATGCATGGAAAACTGGGCCTTACTGTAAAGAACTATCTTACATTGCCCTGTTAGACATTCACTACCTACATTGTACATATATGATGCAGTGTTTATGGAACTCATACATGTATAATGGATTCTGAAGGAGTTAACAGTAAGAAAGAAATGATTGGCCAAGTGATGTGAATAAAGAGAAAAGTACAGTTTGAGAAATATTGTCACAGGAAATGTCTATTGCTTTTACTTGTTTGAAAATTGTGAAAGTCAACAGGTCTGTTTAAAATTTCAATAGTTTAATCCTACAACGGAGACTCTAAAGAACTCAGTTGCCAAGAAAGATGGAGAATATCCCACCTTGTACCATCCCTTCTGTCCGACGATGCGTTTCTCTACGATGTAGTTGGAGATGTCGGAGCCTCCGTTGTCGTCAGGGATGCCCCAGCTCAGAGGCACAGCGTTCTCCAGAACACGGCCAACCTTAAACGGTGTGGTCGGCGGGCCTGGAGGACCTGCAGGGGGGGAATGGGAACGTGTTTAGAACAATGATTTTGTTCAGTGGGCTAGGAGGGCCTGCATGGGGGAAACGGGAACATGTTTAGAACAATGATTTTGTTCAGTGGGCTAGGAGGGCCTGCATGGGGGAAATGGGAATGCGTTTTTAAATGATTCCAGACACAACATGCACATTGTATAACTTTGACTTTCATTGAATTGCCACACCATTTACCTTGTGTACCACTTGACAAAGATTGCTGAAATGATTATTGCACGTCATGTATATGCAACATTTTCCTTCGTTTTCTATTGCATTGATCCATCAATTTGCTACTTTAAGAGAGAGCTACTTTAAGTATAAGAACAATATACAATAGTATAAAACTGTTTTTGGAGCATTTTTTGTTCAATCATTGGTTATTGATACATATTTGTCTAAATGATGACTGTGCAAAACAATGCAAAATTATAATAGAAATCAATGGCAAGATTTGATACTGCTGAGGGCTTGAAGAAGAACAAGTGAAAGTGACTTACCGACGACCTTGACCCTGATGTTGACGCTGACGTCGCCCAGCGGGTTCTGCAGGTGTAGTGTGTAGCGTCCTGCGTCTTTCTTCTCGCAGGGTGAGATCACCAGCGTGTGGGAGATCTCTGTGTTCTCTGTCTTCATACGCTCGTTAACAAGCGGCTGGGATTGGAAAAAACAGGGTTAAAACTTCACACTTCTTACTAAAATCTAGGAAAACTAAAGATGCAAGTAGTTTTAACTATCCATTTTCTGTCTTCCAGCTGCTTGTTGGGAGAATTTTTGTAGTCTTTTCTAGGTTTTGGTACAAAAAACATGGTTAAAACTTCTTACCAGAACGTAGAAAAGACCAAAAACTTATCCTAACAAGCAACCGGGATATGGACAAAACATGATAAAAACTTCATACCGGAACCTAGGAAAGACTACAAAGATTGTCCAAGCCATTGCATAATGTATGTGCACATTTTCTGTAACAGTTACTCTTGGTACATTATTGGTCAACAACTTTGACTTTACTGACACCAAGAAAATCACCATAATAGCTATTTTATTTGTCCTTAGTGCTGAAACCGTGGCTGTTATCAACTGTCTCCCTGCTGCCTAACCCCATAACCAGCACAAACATGCTGCCAAACAGCTACCTTAGCAGGCTAAAGGTTAATGGCCATGTCCCTAGTGCTGAAACTGTGGTTATGATTATTAACCTTCTTCCTGCTGCCTAATCTTCCTTCTTCCTAATCCCTTAACCAATACAAATCTGCTGCTAAACAGCTACCTCAGCAGACTGAAGGTTAAGTTTTGTACCTGTCCGTTGAAGCTCCACTCCATGCTGGGCCTGGGTTTGCCCTTGATGAAGACGGGGATGCGCAGAGGCGTCCCGACCTTCACAACCATCAGCTCCTTCACAGAGGCGTCCAGCTCGTAGTCGGGCATCTCTGTCGGGTCTCTCACCTGGAGCAAAGAACAAAAAACACACTAAGTCAGACCTATAGTGTATTTTCTACATTTGCTGTACCTACATGTACTCTAGTGATCATGAGCTATTGAATTTGATAGTTGCTTCTGAATCATTGTCTTTGGAACTACATTCAATTTTCAACTTTGTTGCCTGTTGGCGCAGCTAATATAAGTATTGTTACTTGAGTGCTGTGCCACTGTTTCTTTTATGTTGAATAAAAAAAAACTTTGCTGCCTTGTTTGCATGTTAAGACAATTGATGATAACTTAAGGATAAGTCAAGAAAACAGACATGAATGTATATCATTGGCAGTTGATAACCCTCCCCCTACTATCATCCAGGGTGACAGAAGGTTTTCAATTTTTTATAAGTTCAGTCTTCTACAAACGCTGATGAAGTTTCAGACTGACCTGAGTGATGCCCGGGGTCTCTGCGCTCTCTCCCTGGCCGGCCAGGTTCACGGCACTGACACGGAACACGTACTTGGTGTTCTCCGTCAGGTCACCCATCGTCAGCTCCTGTCCAACAATCCTGGGTGGAAAAAGAAACACGTAACTTTAGAACATGGAACGTTAGAACATGGAACACAGAACATTATCAGAACACAGAACTTTAAAAAATTGAACATTTAGAATACGGAACATTAGAACATGGAACTTTATAATATTTTGTGTGTTTACAAAAACTTAATGATTTGAGTGCAATATTTTCTGTGTTCATGGTATGGATAGGACCATCAATATTTATCAAATTTAGGTATTGGCACACAATATTGACATCACAATCATCCTTGATGTAAAAAATGTTGAATTTGTTTGAATGCCTTTCTTGCATTTTGGGTTAGCAATCATTTAAGCAAAATTGCAAGTCTTTAGTTCCAGAATCCAAGTTAGTTGTATCATTCAAAAAGTATGAAGGGAAGGCAGCATTTAGATTTCCATAGTCTTCAAGCGCTACTACAGACCATCATTTGTTAGATATGACATTTGTAGGGCCTACACACCTCTCAGTCTCGTGGCAGACGTCCCAGATATCAGAGTCAAACTGTCTGCGCTCCACCACGTAACCGATGATGCGGGATCCGCCATCGTCCTCTGGGGGCAGCCAGCGGAGGGATACGGAGCGCCGCGTCACATCCACAACCTTGGGCGTGGGCGGGCCTGGCAGTCCTGGAGAAGGAGAGAAAATAGTTCCATGAGTTAGTTAGATAATAATAAAATTGTTTTAAACTTTGAAAATTTATTTTCAAGCTCAAACTCACAGACATTATGTGTGAATTTTGTTGACTTTACAATTTAAGATTCGTTACACATTAAAAGTTACATAATCACCCATACATGTTAAAATTTGCACAGAAATTTATACTAAGTCTTTTAAAACTTGTAGGTTTCAACTTGACTTATGGAAACAAAATAGGACTATCACAATGAAATCATCATCAGGTATCATATGTAAGGAACTCACTGATTGGTGTAGCAGGTGCCCTGGGCACACTGGGGAAGCTTGGCGGACCAATCCCCAGCCCTGTTCTCAGCTGCCACACGGAACTCGTACTGTGTTCCCCTCCACCAGTCCTGTCACCTTGTGGTGCATGTCTTCAATGGCAAGTCTGTGGTGAGAAATAGTTACAGCAATGTTAACACAAGGTCCATGTATAAGTCTAGGTGCACAAAACTGTGCCGCACACTATTTGGACTTGTTAGGACTTCAATCATATTACCTGTATACGTTTTTATCCTTTTTTTTTCTAAAATCTACAAACATAAACATTACCCTGGGTTTGTCTGTGAAAGTTAGACATCCAAGTAATAAGATACACCAAAAAACCCTAGGTTGTGACTTCAACACTCCTGGCTAATCACTGGTTTATAGCAACTGCAAAGTACTAGCTACATGTACATGTAGAATTCCTGATGGTGGAAGGTATACAATGTACTTCTCTCATGATCTCAATGAAAAGTGGCCAACAGGCTGCCATGAGTATTTCGTGAAGAACAAAGAACAAACAAAGTTCCTGACCTGTTGATCTGCATCCACCGAGCTCCGGTGGGCTCCTTACGCTCCAGCCAGTAGCCGGTAACGGGCGCGCCGCCGTCGTCCTTTGGCTTCTGCCAGACGATGTTCAGCCAGTTCCGACCGGATGCCGTGATTTCTGGTGCTTCTGGTGGTCCAGGTGGGCCTGGGGGGAACAGGGAACAACAACCATTACTTCAACTGTTAATCTTGTATTGTACTGATACTATAATAATTCTAGAGTGAAGTACAGAGACATTTTCTGTGCAGAGAAAGCTGTTACTTTGTAGTTGCAGTCTTGCACTTACAACCACAGCAGTGGACTAGAATGTTCAGATTCCTCTGGACACTTTTGCATTAGAAAGACGTAAAGACATGTTGCAAACTGCATATCTAAATCTTCCCAAACAAAACAAGGCAAGAGAGTCAAGAGATAAGATCTTCAGTTCAAACATGTGGGCTTTCTAACATATCTGAGACTTTAGGATGTACAATACATGTAATGCAGTGATATACAATCATTAAGATACAATATACAGCCAGGTAAATTGTGTCCCACATACATTTGTATGCTTCAAACTGATGCTTTATCTTACTTATTTGCATACTCGGGACAACTTAAATGAAGCCGTTAACACATTTGAGGTAAATCCTACCATATGGGCTCCTGGCCAGGGTAGGTTTGGACTCGGCTGGTGGGCCGACTCCGATGTTGTTCTCTGCCCTGACACGGAACACATACTCCACACCTTCCAGCAGCTTGTGGGCTACAATCACCCTACAGGGGGGAAACACATATCCATTGGCTTATTTTTCTGGCATTTGGTCATGAAAACAAAATAAATAGAATAGTTTCTTCACATCATAATATGTAAAAAGATACAAGTCAAAACAATGTACTAATCAAGACAAAAAACTTTCATTCACATGTTTGTGGAGGATTTTTGTAACTGATTTACACACCATTACTCATCTTGTTTTTGCTACTTTTTCCTCCATTTTGTATTTCCTATTTTATTGCCCTTTTTGTGGTCATTACAAAGGCATTGTTTTTATAGTTTTATAGAGGGCTTTTGCAAGCATGCTTGCTCTTTGTCCAATCCTCTTTTGCTAAATGTGAATAAAAATTGGAGTGAGGATAGGGGCAAGTGGTGGGCTACCATCAAGCCTCAGTACTGCTGTGCAAGCACATCTAACCCTTGGAAGACAGGGAACAACAGATGCTAAACCAGATAGAAAGTGAGTGAGTGAGTGAGCAAGTAAGGTAAAGCCTTACATTTTCTTGGGGTCGATGCTAGCGGACACCTGTGTCCAGGTGACCAAGTACATCATTGTATAACCTTCACATGGTCTAGCCTAACAAACCACTGCTCTGTTTATTCTTACTCATACACAAAAGGTAATGCCTGGAAAGGCACCCATAGAGGTAAGAGGATGAACTGAACTTACATTTTCTTGGGGTCGATGCTAGCAGACACCTGAGTCCAGGTGACCATGTACATCATGTTTAACCTTCACATGGTCTAGCCTAACAAACCACTGCTCTGTTTATTCTTACTCATACACAAAAGGTAATGCCTGGAGAGGCACCCATAGAGGTAAGAGGATGAACTGAACTTACATTTTCTTAGGGTCGATGCTAGCGGACACCTGAGTCCAGGTGACCATGTGCACGTCGCGCCGGTCCACCACGTAGTTGGTGATGGGGCTGCCGCCATCTTGGTACGGCTTGCTCCACGTCACCGTCATCTCGTTCGCGAACACACGGCTGATCTTTACGTCGTTAGGCTCGCCAGGAACATCTGGGAGTTATAGGAAAATATGGTTAGAGATTTTGTGTTAACGGTCTTAGGGATTCACACTACATCTTGAGATCAACAAATTGTAAGATTTCTTATGCATGTTTCTAAACTAAAAGTGTTGCCAAATGTTTGAATGTCATACATGTGTAATATACATAATGGGGGATTTACATTTTGTATATGTGGGTACTTCAAGACAGAAATCAATGTGATATGCACAATTCACTAATGTAACATACACATCTATCACATTCTTTACCAGGAGTTCTATCACTGGATTCAGCTATGCAATAATTCAAGTAGTACTACATATTGGCATGTGACAGCCCATGCAAAGTATGGGACAACTCAACACAAATATCATGGCATCTTGACTGGGTAACTTTAAAACCAGAGATCAATGTATTGGTTTGGTGATGGATATTGGATGCATGTTAAAAACCAAACTTTGGTGTTTCCCAAAAACAAAAACACGGATTGCTGTGAAAAAAGTTTTGTGAACAAGTGTAGTTATTTTCAAAGACATTACTCACCCAGGATGGTGACCTTGATCTGTTTGCTGGCCGTGCCGACCTTGTTCTTGGCGGTAACCTGATACACTCCCTGGTCGATCTTCCTCATGCACTTCCTGATGTCCAGGTTGGAGGAGGACGCGTCGTTCACCAGGCTGACGCGGTCCACGGCCATGAGAGGCTTCCCGCCGCGCTCCCAGCTGATGGCGGGGACGGGCTTGCCGGTGATGCCGGCCGCGATGTTGATGGTCTCTCCTGCACGGACTGTCATCTCCTCCTGAAGTCTGACGCCAGGGGGAACTGGGGAAAAGAAAAGAAAGGATCCCATTTTCATGTGTCACCTGAATAAAGGTTCTGGGAAGGAGTGAAAATGACTTATCATTCTTGTCAATAGAAAACTGTCCCTAGCACGTGGGTGATATCCATGTCCTTGGTGCTGAAGTGGCCTTCCATCCCTGTTCTTTGGAACTGCAATCTATATTTCAATGATCCATAGCAGTAGCATCTAAGAACTAAGGCTATACTTGAGCTCGACAGGCACTTGACACTTGTTTTAGTAGTTACAGCAACTGTAACTGTCAGCCAAAGGGAAAAGAAAGCATGGACATCCAAATCTAACATGCAGACCACCTGAAGGATGCAGAAACCCTGAAATAAAACCATCCAGAGTGGAAAGAGCCTGTTGTTGCCCAGTGTGCCACTAAGTAAGTAAATGTTGAAGTGAGAGTCCTACTAAGTTTGTAATTGGTCTCCACTGTTACAACAGCAGTAACAGTAGCAACAGTAACAATAGTTCGAGACTTACTGAGTTTCTCCCTGGTCTCCACGGGTGGAGTCTGTGCGTACGGCCCAGCGCCGACGGCGTTCACGGCGCAGGCACGGAACGTGTACGCCTCGCCCTCCGACAGCTCCAGGAAGTTGTAGAACAGTTGGGTGACCTTGAGAGTGGGGAGGGGGGCATGACAATTAGATACTCTGATCTAAATATTACAAATGTTAAATCACCTTGGGGGAACTCTTCAGGAAGTTGTAGAATAGTTAGGTGACCTTGAAAGTGGGGAGGGGGACATGGCAATTAGATTCTTTGATCTAAACATTATGAATATTACTCGATGAACCTCAAGGACTATTCTGTAATATCATGCAATCATTAAACCTAAAAATTGTCAATGTTACCACAATTATGCATGACACATTTTGCCCATAATTATTCTATGATGACCAAGTTTTAGATATATCAATGGTATATGAATAAAATTCAGTTCAGTTGAACTTCACAGATAATCATCTGTTATTTGCAATTTTCATCAGTAACAGACCATTGCCTTTTAAAATAGATACCACCCATACTATCCCAATCTCTGGAAAGAAAGAAAAATGTCTCGCAGAACACTTTCAAATTTTTCCCAATTTCTGACCTTGGATTCGACCTTCTCGAAGCTGCTGCTGCCTGGTGCCTTCATCTCCACGACATAGTGGGTGACCTTTGACCCACCGTCGTGTTTGGGAGGCTCCCAGGTGATGCCGACAGAATGCTTGGTCACGTCGGTCACGGTCAGGTTCTCTGGTGGGCCAGGAGGATCTGGACAGGGTCACAAGAAATATATTACATGTAAATGTTAAAAAAAGCTAATAAATATTCTAAGCTTCATGTAACAACAAAGAAATTACAGTGGTGTACATCGTTTGATGTACACCAGCTATCTGATACACAAAAAGTAGGTCTTATTACATTAATACTTAAGCAAGACCCCACGGGACAGGAAAAAGACCCTTCGTATCTCAAAAATTGGCGTCCCATTACCTTACTTAACTGTGATACGCGTGTTTTGTCCAATTGTCTCGCTCTTCGCATGAAAAATATTATTCCAAAGTTAATATCACATGATCAAACAGGTTTCCTGCAGGGGCGTAGTATTTGTGACAACATACGCAGATTATTAGAGATAATAAAATATTATGACAAAAATGATTTGCCCGGTTTAATTTTCATTGCTGACTTTGAGAAGGCCTTTGACACCGTTAAACTGGACTTTATCTTTAAAACACTGAGGTATTTTGGCTTTGGGGATTCCTTTATTAGCTGGGTAAAAATTCTTTACAAAGATATCTCTAGTAAAATTATTAACTGTGGTTATATTTCTAAGTCCTTTTCCCTGTCCCGTGGGGTCCGACAAGGATGCCCCCTTTCTCCATATCTTTTTATTTTAGGGGTAGAAATACTCGCTGTTAAAATTCGTAGCAATATCGAAATAAAGGGTTTAAATACTTTTGGAATTGAATCTAAAATTTCGCAATATGCCGACGACTCGAATTTTCCACTTGCTCCCGAACTCGGCTCTTTATACGCTTTAGTTACGGATCTAGAAAATTTTTCCTTATTATCAGGACTATGCCCACATTTTGATAAATGTAAAATATTAAGAATTGGTACTCTAAAAAGAACAAACTTTTACTTACCTTGCCCCTTACAAATACAATGGACGGATGGCCCTGTTAATATTTTAGGAATTCACATCCCAGAACTTTTATCTAATATAGTAGATTATAACTTTGACAAGAAATTGGCAAGAATAGACAAGATATTAATGCCGTGGAAATCTAAGTCTTTAACTCTCATGGGTAAAATCGTTTTAATCAATACATTAATTGTCCCACAATTTATCTATTTACTAACTTCTCTCCCGTCTCCCCCCTCTACGTTTTTTGACCTATATGAAAAAAGATATTTAAATTTCTATGGGGGAGGGACCGGAGCGGGTGAAAAGGAAAACATTGTATGCTACTTATGAACAGGGGGGGCTAAAACTTAGGAACTTACGGGCTGTGGATTTGACACTAAAAGGTTCTTGGTTGCCAAAATTGTATCTAAATAAAAAATGGTTTTGCTCTAAATCAATATTTTTATCTAGTTCTATTTTTCGTACGAATGTATTTCCTTTTTCCCAACTAAAGTATGTGGATTTTAACTCTTTAATGGGGAAAAAGTCACCTCTTAGTTCTTTTTTCATGCATGTAATACAGGCTTGGTTAAAGTTCCAGCTCCGGCCGCCAGAGGGAGCAGTAGAAATAAAACAACAACTTCTGTGTTTAAATTCAAATATTACAATCGATGGAAAACCTTTCTTTTCACAGGTAATGTTTAGTAGAGGAGTAGTGTTTGTAAATGACATTCTAGACTTACAAAATAGGTTTTTATCATTTGATGATCTGACTCAAAAATTTGGGGAAGCCTGTTCCGAATTTAAGTACAATCAACTTATTTCTGCAATTCCTTCTTGTTGGAAAACCATGTTAAAACAGACATCTCCAAACCTGGGTGTTTGTCTTCCAGTTTGTAGAAACATAAGCTGGCTACGTGAGGGAAATATTAATAAAGATCTGTATTCATTTTTTATGAACGAAGCCAGTTTATGGGACTCGTCTGACAAAATTAAATTTTCGTGGGAGGAATATTTCGATACCCCTTTACCTTGGCACAAAGTGTATAGTTTGCCGTATAAACTTTCTATTGACTCAAACACTCGTATGTTTCAATACAAACTGCTGTTCAAATTTTTAACTTGTAATAAAACATTATTTTTATGGGGGTTAATAGACTCACCAATTTGCAGTCTATGTAAAGAGGAAGAAGAATCAGTGGTCCACCTATTTTGGTATTGTCGAATATCTGCATATTTTTGGAGTCAGGTGGACGACTGGTTCTTCAACATCACTGGTACTCATTTACAAATCAACGCAATCAATATAATTTTTGGTAACCTGACTGATCGATGCCCGGTTCTCTCCAATGTTATTGTACTCCTGGGTAAAATGTTTATTTTTAAAAATCGTAAGTATTCCTTAAGTTTATCTGCATTTAAATCTTATGTTTGTTACTTTTATAGACTAGAATTAAACATTGCGTATAGGCAACACAAACTATTAAAACATAGGGGGAAATGGGGAAAATTAAATACAATTTTTTCAGAATAGATAAATAAGTTGTTAAACAAATGTTTAAAGAGTTAAAAAATCCCATTTGTATTTTTAAACCATGTAATTAGGGGCAACAGGGTTTATCTGTAAAATTTGCACAACACTATTTACCTGGATTTTACGTTTTGTTTTTGTGGTTCACCATGTATTCCTTTTTGCACAATGCCATGCTATATTTTGTTACTGTTAATTTATTTTGGAAAATTCAATAAAGAAAGATTAAAAGATAAAAAAAAAAGAAAGAAATTACAGTGACTTTATATACTAGTCATGCAACCGCGTCATAAATGTCTGTGATATGCCATTGTTATCTCAAGCTTACATGTGAGACATACTACATTGTAGTATTCAGTAGTAACCAAGAAATAAATTCAGCTATTCTTCATCCTTTGAATCATAGTACATATTTCGGACACATTTGGATATGGAGAGAATACATACCATATGATATATAATCTCTTTTTACTGTCCAAGGGAGTTAAGTATTGTTTTGGCATATTCCTTTTTTCCTTATTCCTGCAGACTTACCCAGAGGCTCAGCCATCATGACAGGTTGTGTCTCAGAAGGTGCTCCGACTCCGTACTTGTTCTCGGCGCAGACCTGGAAGATGTACTCCGCTTCCTCCACCAGGTCCATGATGGTTATCGTGACGTCCCTCGTGTCCGACACGCGCTGCCACGCCTTGCGGCTCACGTCGCGCTTCTCGATGCGGTACTTGGTGACCCTTGACCCGCCGTCGTCCTCGGGCGGCTGCCAGACCAAGGTCACGGTACGCTTGGTCACATGACTCGGGTGGAGGTTGATCACTGGGCCAGGAACATCTGGGGGGGAGGGCAGTTGTTTGTTTGTTTGTTCATTTGTTTATTCAGAATCTCCACTAGTGATACAAAATTGTATACTAATCTTTCTGGAGTCCTACAGGCTAGGAACTCCTAGATGCACTTCCTAAGCATACATGTGATACTTCAAACTCAACATGTTGATTTACTCAATAGACTTGTCTGTAGGTTAAATCATTTGTATCCTCTTGTTTCAGTGTAGGAGACCTTACAAAAGTTGCTGTAGTTTTGTTGTGTCAATAAAGATTGTTGTAAATTGTGTGTTACAATCATTAATGCTGGCATACTTTTAATTTAAATTTTTAATCACATTTGATACTAATGTTATCAATGGCATCTCTATTAAAAAATTGTTGTTGCAGTGAAGCTACATAATGTATATTTCTTGTCCCCCATTGACAAACTATGAGTAAGAGAGTCCCCCGTACCTAGCACAGTGACAGAAGTCTGCATGGTCTTGGCCCCGGCCTTGTTCTCCACGGTCAGCGCGTACTTGCCGGTGTCGGAGCGGGCTGTTGTCTTGATGATAAGAGCGGTGCTGATGCTGGTGTTCTCAGGGTAACCTCGCATCATGGCCTCCGTACCCACACGCGACCACTTGGTCTTTGGCTCAGGACGGCCCTGGGAGGGAAATGGAATAATATGTTACATAATATAGTCTATCATACTTTATTTATTTAATATTTATTTATTTGGCTTACAAAGAAGCCAGAGTGTCCAAAGACATACATAGAATGCATATTACAATTTACAAATGACATGCTTAGTGAAATATACAGTTATGTACAATGGTGCAATAATGTACATACATTTTTAATATAGTCTATCATGATAATATCTCAGCTCCACTTAAAACATCAAAAATTCTAGTCTAGATAACAGCGGATTAGACCTTCTGTACATTTGTAAGCACAATGGATATGGAAAAGTGTTAGGCTAGCCTTCTGCTGTAGTGTTTGCAGAACTGTGTGGCCCAGGGGCTAGAGAAGTGAAGATTGGCACTACCCTATGCTCTGCATAAAGGAGCAGAAAGAAACTTTTTGTTGGACAAGCATTTGTAGCCAATCTAGCCCAAGATCAACCAGACTAAGAATTGTTTCTGGGGCTTCCTGGTTATGCAGTTTTGGAAACTTAGCCAAAATCTATAAATCTGTAAACCTAGAAGATTTTGCCCCACCTTGAAGTAAGCCATGAGGCGTACAGGCTGTCCGGCCCGGACTGTCACACCTTCCTTAATGTCAGCATCAAGATCCATCTCAACTTCCTCTGCAGGGGGTACAACAGGGGCAATGTCAGAACATTTACATATAAGCAAACATTATCTGTTCAACTCTTACAGCAATAGAGTTAATATTAGAGTAAAATATAAGTTTTATTGCAAATACATGATCATTGGCTAATTGCAAATAACATGTGCAATTGTGATGGTAACTCCTACAGTAAAATATACTGCATTCTACCATATACATTAAGCTAGTTTTGTTACAATTGACATTTTGTATTGAGGCAGTGGAAAATGAATCTAGCAATCTCTCCTATAAGATGTGGTTTCTTTGATTTTAAATGTAGAATAATTGCAATGCTAACAATAACTGTGTAACAATGACTGAAGGCCAATGAAGATCATGTTGAAGTTTATTACTGATAGCCTCCTTGACAATGCCATTAGTAAATTAAACATTAACTATCTAATCATAGAAGCAACAAGGCAAACATCTGTGATAACTTTAATACTCTGTCTAATAATGCCTGAAGACCAGTGATTTGAAGTTCATGTTTAAGTTTCTCACCGATCCTCTCCTTGACGATGACCCTTCCGGGCACGTCTCCAGGCGGCCCCTCCCCGACCTCGTTCACGGCAAACACGCGGAACCAGTACTCCTCTCCCTCATTCAGGTCAGGCACAACCAGCTCACGCAGACGCACAAGCTCCGTGTCATGGCAACGTTCCTGAAAACATTAGAAAATTGTTCTAGCTGCTGTTTCTCACACAAATATGAACTTAACTCATGGCGATGTACAATGTATTTTCTTCAAAATAAAAATGGTCCATCATTGTCATCATGTCAACACTACTGAGATTGTGAAGTTATAGAAAACAGTTGTAGCTGCTGCTAACAATGTGAACTTAAGATCGTTGAATTTTGTCTTTCTACAATACTCGTGCTCAAGTCAAGTTCTACTACTAGACATTGGTAATTTCAACTGACATCCATCACTCTTCTTTGCCCATCTGTCACTAAAATAAACTAACAGAAACACTGTGTAATCATGTAGTTCAGGTGTTTCTAAGTAATTCATTAGAGTTACTCTCCGAAACATTAGAAGTAAAACATAAAGTTTAAGACAAATTCTTTAAGTTTCCTCACCCAGTCAGCTTCTCCTCGGAACTTCTTCATCTCGACGTAGTATCCGATGATGGGGCTGCCTCCATCCCGCGCAGGCGGTTCCCACTCCAGGGTCACCGAGGACCGCGTCGTGTCAACCACCTGGGGACGCGGCGGGCCGGGGGGAACTGGGGGGGAAACATGGGACAGTTAGTGCATTGTGCAAGTTCCTGATGGTTGCGGACAACTGCTTTGACTGTGGTAAGCACAGGGACACTCCAAAAGACTCTGCATGCCACTTTCTTCTGAAGATCGTCAGATTTTGAATAGATGCCTTTTTAAAAATCATCTCCCTGCTTCCACAGTTAGTACTTTGCCCATTCCATGATAACCAATGCAATACTCCAGGAGACTTAACATGCCACTTTCTTCTTAAATTTGGCTGCTTGTGACAAGATGCCTTTTCCCAGTTGAAGTAGTCTTTTGGCACCAAATTTTCATTGGGATAGCCAACACAGGCATTAAATCATTAGAAGTCTGTCAAAACTGAAGAGCAAACAAGTACATGCCTCAGTAGTAGTGATACTTACTAGCTTGATCCTTTGCAACTCTAGGTTTGGTTGGCTTGCTGGGTGGACCCACACCGGCGGCGTTAATGGCGGATGTGCGGAAGTCGTACTCCACATTAGCATACAGTCCAGTCACACGTTCACGGGTGCCCACTATGGGGGCCTTGGAGACCTGGGAACAAGACATGAAGCCAGTTATAATGCTGCATAATGGTACACACTTAGTCTAGAAATCTTGCAATGTGAATGGCATAGCAATGAGCAAGAAATACTAGTCTTACTAGTAGCTTGCTGGACATGATTTTAAAAAAAAGGGAGACTAGGCAAGGTAAGGTTTTTTTGCATGCTGAGGCAAATATCTTAAGACTTTGGATTCTCAGTTGTGAGTGAATCTTACTTAGAGATGTCTTGTTGCACCTTGAACAGTAAAGGTTGCAGCAGCAAGCAGAAAATAGTGGACATTATTTCAAAAGACTTTTACTTGCCACTCAGGTCTTTCATAAAGATTTTTAATCTAAAATAGACATAAGCATGCTGAGGAAATGTCTCCAAGATGTTGGAAGAATCTAAGACATCTTATATCTTACCTTGAACCATCTCTGGTTGTTGGAGTCGCGTTTCTCCAGCCAGTACCCGGTGATGGGGCTGCCTCCGTCGTCCAGCGGCGGCTCCCAGCAAACAATCATCATGTTCCTGGACACGTCTGTGATCATAGGGTTCTCAGGGGGACCAGGAAGCTCTGTGGAAGGCAGGAGGATTGTTATCATACCTTTTAACATAGGAAGTTCTCACCATATTCTCAGCCTACTGTATCATAATATAGGAATTGGAGAATCCAGGCTGTTTAGAAGGGTGGCATCTTACATTAATTTTGTTATTTCATATTATGGTTTAACCATGCATGCAAGCCTTTTAATACCGTATTAAAAGGCTTGCATGCATGCAGTCAGTGACATATATATGGAGGTCACATTTTGTATGTGAAGCAGATGTTGAATCATCAATAAGAAGTAAGTGTACAGTTCCTACTGCTTCCCTTGTGACTTTGCTGACTCATGATCAGTAGGATTTTTTTAATCAAATGATTATGAGTGTATATACTTAAGAGTATTATCAAACTCTCTGGATGCAGAAAAAGTTGGTTGTTGGAATCCTCAAACTTGTAGTTGAGACTTACTGATGAGACTCTTGATCATCTTTGGCCTGGTCTCAGTCCCAGGTCCAGTTCCAAACTTGTTCTCCGCGATGACGCGGAAGGCGTAGGACTTGCCCTCGATCAGGCGGGGCACGATGAAACTGCACACTGGCACGTCACCTGTGGAAAGGGGGGGACTTATTAGTGTTTGTCAACTTCAACTTGTCAATCTTAAGAATGGTGAACACTTCTATTTGTCAATCTTAAGAATGGTGTACACTTCTATTTGTCAATCTTAAGAAATGTGTCCACTAAACTCAATTTCTACTTTCTACTGTCATTCTTGAGGAATTTGTCCCCTTACACAAGGGATTTCTCTTCATACAGTTGCATGGACATCTCCATTAACTAAAGATGGAAAAGCAAAGGAACAAACATGTACAGCATGGCTACACTTGTTATTGGTTGATTGAAGCTGCAGAGTATTTCAACTGCAATTGTAGTCAGCATGCGTAATAAAAGTACAAAGCTTTCAGAAATCACACTTTTAAACCCGAACACTACAGTAACAGTACTGTATTTATCAAGACTGGCATCATTCTGAAAATCAGCTCTGACTGACCTTTGACGAGCACCCACTTCCCGTCAGGCATCTCCTTGCGCTGTACGAGGTAGCAGGTGACGGGCGAGCCGCCGTCGTCCTTGGGGTGGTGCCAGGACAGCGTGCAGGTGTTCGCTGTCATGCTGTCTATGTTCAGGTCCTGGGGCGGGCCAGGTGGGCCTGGAGGGGGGCAAAGAAATGGAGGACATGAGAAACATAATCATCATCATTATCTGTCCTAGTCTAAAGAGGTGTAGCTATTTTCACTGCTGAGAGAAGATCATATTTCTAAATTGGTTTCTGTTTCTATGAGATTTAGTTTTGTGATTGGACAACCAATTTTGTCTAATTGTGTCCAATGTCAATGTGAAAAATGATATTTGGAATATAAATAACGCACTACAAACAACTATGACCCTATTTTAAGGCTGGGAATTGGAACTGCTGCTGGTGATACTTATTTCAAGTAACCTATCAGGCTTTTAATGTCAAATATAATAAAAAACAAAGTTGCATCAAATTACCTTTGATGCCAACATAGTTGTCAATAGATTGATTCTGAAATTGAGGAGTAGAAGAAGGTAAAAATTGATGATATGGAAAAAAAGACTGCTGCTTACCATAGATAGTGACCTCACACTCAGCAGACTTCTTGCCGCTGTTGTTGGAAGCGGTGACAAAGTATGTCCCCGCGTCGTTCCTGGTGCAGTGTTGTACTGTACAGATGGTGTCGATCAGGGACTGGCTGATGTCTGTGCGCTGGTCTGGCTTCAGGGAAGCATCTCCCTTGTACCACTCCACCTGGGGAAACATAATGCTTACATGAGTGCAGGAAGGAATGAGAAACAGATGAAAAACAGGCCAAGGCATATGATATGAGCTATAAAGTCAACATACCAGGCTGATTTATAATTCAAACAGTGAGTTTTGATCTTTTAATCAAGTGGCCATTACGATAGATGGAACAGTGCTTTTGCCAAGGAACACCTGACTAGGCAAAAAAACTGTAAAAACTAGGAAGGAAAGAACTGTCTTCAACTGTTGCAGCAAGGAGCACTAACTGCACTTGTTCTGTGGCTTGTACATGTCCACTTCTATGCCCAACTCCTACGGTTTGTTAGCAGTTACTAACAGTGGCCAAATCACAGCTGCTAATACATGTAAACTACAGTTGTATTGCAGGCTCAGCAGTCTCCCAGAAGAAGAATAGACATCAAAAGTGTGTCATACCTTAGGAGCGGGGCGTCCGTCCAGTGCAGCGTCCAACACCACGTTGGTGCCGGCCTTGAAGGTCAGCTGTGGTGGCAGCCGCAGGGATGGAGGAACTGCCGGGGGAAGGGGGCAGAAAATTAACACTCAAGAAAGTATCTATTTCAGTCTCTACCTGCTCTTTAGAGAATTAGAACATGTAGTGATGACGCTTAGGTGATCACAAATAGATGTTTCTTTCTAAGAAGATATGGTACACTATAAGTTAATTGTTGGTTTCTTACAATGTGTAAGAGAATAACACAATCATACTATAACATTTGTACTTTGCTAACATAATTTCCATTCAGCCATTTCACAAAAGTTTTCAAAGCAGGGCCTACTAAAGAACTTAAATCAATCTTCCTAACAAGTATCCATCCCACTTCTTTCCATCCCAACACAAACATCAGTTGATCACAGAGCTTTGTATTTTTTCCTCACCTTGCTTCTCCCTGACCACATACGGGTCAGTGACGGCCTGCTTGCCAGCACCGACCTCGTTCACGGCCTTGACGGCGAACTCGTACTCCTCCATGTGAGGAAGCTCCGTGAGGGTGAACTTCAGGTCAGGCTCCGTCGCAGTCGTGTGGCCCTTCTTCCAGTCACGATCACCGTACTGCGGTGGAAAATGCAATGTTTTTTTATTAGAATTCTCCACAGATATACACATGGAAATGAGGGCAAAACAGGTGTATTAACAGATTTACAAGTTACCCTCTGACTCCCAAACACAACAATGTATTATACATTATATACAAAAAAATGGATATTTTGTGTCACTTTCTGTTTAAGCTCTATTTGTGAAGAAACTGTCCCATCCTGTGCAGTAGGATGGACAGTTGCGCAGTTAAGTCATAGTCTTTTGAGACTGACAGATACAAAAACATGTGTTATGGTTAGAAACTGGATGGTTTTTGGATGATATTGATACTTATTTCAAGGAATGTGAGAAGTTAAAACTCACCTTGCGGCACTCAATGACGTATCCGACGATGGGTGATCCGCCGTTGTACTTGGGGATGTCCCAGGACAGCGACACTTCAGTATCCATGGAGTCATAGATCTCCAGGTTCTGTGGTGGGCCGGGAGGACCTGGGGGAAGGAAAGACACGCATTTTAGACATGGAAGTGGAGATATGCTGGATGAAAGCACTGTTCTGCACTGTTGTATAGGAAATGGCTATGCATTTTGGCAAGAGGTTTGTACTCGAGTGCATATTCGCAGAATCAAACTAAACATATAAAATCAGAGCATAAAATGAGGTTTTCCGTGTCAGGAGTTATACAGTCTTGGTGCTGAAATCCATGCATTCTGGCAACAGGTTTTTACTTTTAATCTTGGACTAGATTGCATATTCTCAGTGCCAAACTAAACACATAAAATCAGAGCATAAAATGATGTTATCTACATGTATGACAGGTTCTATATTACAGTGGTTGCTCTCCTTGGTGCTGAAATCCAGGTTACTGACATCTGTGCTATACTGTAAGGAGTTGTAAGGATGTTTGGACATGCAGGGGCAATGCCCTGGTCTATCCTGATAAGAATCCTAATAATGCATCCTGGCCAGAGCGTCTGAGAGGTTACTTACCGATGGGGTCCATGGCCTTGAAGGGCGGGAATTCCGTGAAGTCTCCCACGCCGATCAGGTTCTCAGCAGCCACACGGAACACATAGTCAGTGCCCTCCTGTAGGGACAAGTATCATCATATAAGCCAGGCATCATTGTATCTCCTAAATGTATTTTGATACACACAATTCACTTAACACATACAAGTCTATCACATTCTATACCAGGATTCCTATAATTGATGAATTCAATGTAACTATTGACATGTTGCCATCCATAGATTGTACATATTATAGGACAATATCTGAAAAAGTGCCAAATCCCACTAGCCTGTAAATTATTCTCCAACCACATTTACTGTACCAAGCCATTATTTACTTCCACAAATTTAAAAGTGGCCTGCCTTTGATAGCAGTCAGCAGCAATGGCATCCCAGTAATAATCTTGGCAAAGACTTAACTTTGCTACATTTTAAGATATCAATTTCACACACCTGAAGATTGGAGGCGTAGAACGTTAGTTTCTGCACAGTGGCAGAGATCTGTGTCCAGATGCGGCGAGTCGCCTCGCGCCTCTCGATGACATAGTTGGTGATCTCGGAGCCGCCGTTGTCCTCGGGCGTCTTAAACTGCAGCGTGCAGCCGGTCTTAATCACGTCCTTCACTCGCGTGAACCTCGGCGGGCCGGGCACGTCTGTGGAAGGAATATTATTAGCATATCATTAGCATTCCATTAGCATACCATTAGCATAAATTACTGTAGAACTGCAGTGTGCAGCCGGTCTTAATCACGTCCTTCACTCGCGTGAACCTCGGCGGGCCGGGCACATCTGTGGATGGAATATGATTAGCATAAATTAGCATAAATTACTTGAATCTGGTTGTGCAATTAAGTCTTGGAAGAAATTTAATTTCCAGTAATTAGCATAAATCATTGAAGAATCTTTGTGGGCATTAGGCATGTCTGGTGATGGATTTAGGGATAAATCTGCATATTCATAATTATCATAAATGATAATCATAATAATATCATAAATGATATTCATAATAATTATCATAAATTTGCATGAACAGACGTGGTACTAGATGAGTGGTCTGAAGAAGAAGTGGTCTGTTTCAATTTTATGCTGTGTAAGAGTCATTTGTTTTTTAATTGCAATTGTTGAAGCATCTCAAAACATGCCACATTCATTTAATAATCAAAAGAAAGCTAATTCCTTTTCCCTTACCGAGACAGTCACCATGCATGTAGCCGACTTCTTGCCAGAATCATTAACAAACCTTATTAACATAATATCAAAAAAATAACTTGGAAGCCTTTTAGCTTGTAACTGCTCAAAACGTGCCACAATCAGTCAATACTCAAAAGAAAAAAGCATTTCTACTTACCGAGTACAGTGACCATGCATGTTGCCGACTTCTCGCCAGCGTCGTTGCTCGCGGTGACCTTGTACAGTCCGGAATCCGTCCTCTGGGAGTTCTTCAGCACGCACTCTGACCCGTCCTCTGTCGGACCAATCACGGTGCGCGTCTTGTCCAGCTCAGGGTCGGCCTCCCACCATACCTCGGGATCGGGTTTCCCGCGGATGTAGGCAGCCAATCGGATGGGATGTCCGGCGCGGACGGTCAGACCTGACCGCAGACCGGCCTCCAGCTCAATGATAGGCTCATCTATTGGGCAAGACAGAGGAAAATATATTCAGTTAATTTTACACTTTCACTATTTTACATACTATGTATAACCATTGAACATTTTTATACATTGTGATAATTACGCAAATTTCAGTGTAAAGTGCTGTTGAGCAACTAATACTTTATCAAAACATCCATAATAAAATTGAAACATTAGCATGATGAAAGTCAATCTGTGTTAACTTGGTACATAACATGATTGATTACGGAAAAAAGATTGAAACCAGTATGATGTGTAAAGTTACTGTATGTATGTCTTGATAAAATATTGTTGATACAAAAAAATTATTATTTTAAAAGCTAAGAAGAGAAGAAAGGTAAGAAAGATAAGAAAGTTCCTGTACTCACAGACTCTGTCCTTAGCCTTGAAGGGCTCCATGACAGCGTACGGACCGAAGCCCTTAGCATTACGGGCCTTACAGCGGAACTCGTACTCCTTCCCTTCCACCAAGTCTGAGATGGTGAACTCCTCAAGCCTGGGGACACAGGAGGGATTCTTAGACATGCTACAAAGTCTTCAAGTTGGTGTTCAAAAAATATATTGAACACATAGTTATATACAAGGAAGCATACTGTTAATGGTATCTACAACTATTAACATTGTTAACTAACGATGGCAAAAATCTGCAAATTAGACATAGAATTATAGGATAAATACATGCTTTTTACTCCCTATTGCACAATATATTTCAACTTTTGAAATAGTTATTAGATCTACAAAATAAGGTTTCAAAAGTCCCAAGATGGACAAATAAATAATGTGTATCTACAGAAGATGTGAAAACATACAGCCATCATAGGTATCTATTTATATAGGTAATTATAATACAATCACTGTATTGTATTATAATTGCAGTGTCTGGGAGGGCATTTTGTATTCATGCATATCTGCAGGTCTTAATACACCTGCTTTGCTGCCCCTTTCACTTGACAAATGTATACTTGTGGAGGACTCTAGCAAACAAACAAACAAACAAACAACCAAACGTACATGATTGTTGGCTTGTCGTGTACTTTAAGCCAGTCGTCCTTGTCCTTAGGCGTCATCTCCAGACAGTACCCGGTGATCTCACCACCCCCGTTATCCAGTGGTTCCTCCCAGCGAATCGCTGCCCAGGACTTGGTGTAGTCATAGGTGTGCAGCTTCTGGGGCGGACCCGGGGGATCTGGGGAAGGTAACAGTAACATTATACAGGGATTCCAGAATACATTATACTTACAATGTCGTGGGGAAGGCCATGTAGTTACTTCTGAACTATTGAAGTGGGTGAGGAGAGCTGGCACTATCATCAAGTATGTCATGTAACAGAGAAGCCACTTCTCAGCAACTATGTGGAAAACTGTGTGATGATGAATTGATAATGTTTCTATCACATTCAATGACAACAAATACAGTGGCTCTACTATAAAAGTTCAAACATACAGTACACAGTTTCCTTACATGTAGGCACACAATCTTTTTTCTCTTCCCACAAGAAAACTTTCCAATTATTTGATTTGAGAATATGATGAAACTATCTACAAACACCTACTCTGGGTTGATATCACTAAAATTGCATTTCATATCTGTTTCTTGATGCTTATTTGCTTGTGGCTCTTGTTGCTTCTTTGCATGTAAAATGTTGCATGCATGTACCAGTGGCCTATGGCACCAGGATAGCAATAAGGAATAAGCCCAAACAAGCAGGCACAGCTACTCACCCATAGGTGGCAGAGCCAGTGTAGGCTGTGTGGGCTGGCTGGGAGGTCCCATCCCGCCATGTTCTCAGCATAGATACGGAACTCGTACTCCGCACCTTCGATCAGGCCGTCCACGTACAGGGAATGGCCTTCCATGGCCTTACGGTTCACCTAGAGACAAACACAACAGTCATTGTAGAGGGAAGCCAACAAACTGATGTAGCATCATTGCATTAAGTATATATTTTGCTGCATAGCAACATTCACCTGGTGTGAAATGTAGTTCAACAACAACAAGATGATTTTGGATTAGCACACTTTTTTTTGACATGTAGTTTATATAGCCTTCATACTACTTTGCTGAGTCAATATATTTCATACTCTGTTGGGAACCCATGCATATGTTGACTGGAAAACATTCATGCAAGATGGCATTTTTGTCAAACTGAGAAAACATGGCGGGAACTACATTCCTACACATAGTCACAGGGTCTATGAAATCTCAGTTTACTCATTGCTACATGCATGAAAAAGTGGTAAGTTTGTCTAAAGTTCAAACTTAAGATCCAACACGAAAAGTTCTCTCACCTAGAGCTTTCTACCACTAAAGTTTTAACTTTAAACATGTAACACAGATGAACTTTCATGATGGTATAAAAAGTGGTAAGTTTGTATCTTTACCTTGCCCCAGCGACCTGACATCTTCTCCCTCTTCTCCACGATGTATCCGATGATGGGGCTGCCTCCGTCGGTGAGAGGCGTGTCCCACGTGACTGTCATGGCGTTAGCCTCGATGCCACGGATACCCGGGGACTCTGGCGGGCCAGGGGGGCCTGGAGATGATGAAAAGGTTTTGTGTAACTATATGTACTGTCAGGCATTATTCTTCTTATAACATTGTTAAACAGTTAAATATGTATCTGATTCATCAGACAACAGAGACTCGCATCAGAACTCAGATGCTCTGAGCGTAAAACAAAGAATACTAAGTAAGCACATGGTGTAGAAAAAGTATTTTCATGGTCTTATAAGACCAAAGAAATACCTACTATGTACATTTGTATCATCATGGTAATTTCTGTCACCAACAAATACTGATTGAACAATACACAACTATGGATATGGCAAAAGGATGGACCTGTATCTGTCAAAATCCTTCACTAAGAAGAGTTGAATGGAAAAGGACTACTGGTGAGACAATGACACAGATGATTGTTTTGCATCACCAGTAAACAGCCTTTAGGCATAATGCACCAGTTTTTCAAAGTATGTACAAGCTGCATAAGGATGGACTGTAAGGTTTGAACCACTCACACCGGGATGGTTCCCTACTCTTTTCAATAAGGGCAGTGGGATCTTTAAAATACTCAAGGTACATGCAAATAGCAATGCTAAATGGCAAAAGGATGGGTTTCCTTCAAAATCCGTCATTAATGAGAGAGAACATGTACAAAGTACAATCAAGTACAACACTTACCGAATGGCAGCTGTATCTTGATAGGTTTAGACTTGATAGTTGGTCCAGCGCCGCAGCGGTTTTCTGCCGACACCCGGAACTCGTAGGTGTGGTTCTCCAGCAACTGGGTCGCCGTGAACTTGGTCTTCAGAGCGTTGGGCGTCACTGTCTGCCACTTGGGCTTGGACGTGTCACGACGCTCTGGAATATAGCAAAACACAATTTGTTTAAGACTCAATAGTACAATTTTATATTATAATAGTGATGGGATAGTCACTAGCATTCTTATACTATCACTTTTCTTGTCTTATCTTTTATCAACAAACAAGAGAGAGAGAAAAGAAGATGTACGACAATACTGCAATGCCAGCTTGCATGCCACCTATATATCAGGGAGAGCCTATAGCAACTGAAGTCAAGATGAAGGAACAAAGGTTCAGAAGAAGAATTTTGAGTTGAAGACGTACCGAGGATGTAGTTGGTGATGCGGGTGCCGCCATCGTCCTCGGGTACTCCCCAGGAGATGTCGACAGAGTCACGGGTACAGTTGCTGAAGTCCCACGGTTCTGTGCACGGGCCAGGGATGTCTGGGAAGAAAACAAATTGTTAACAAAATGAGACTCTGTCTAGGTATAAAAACACTGTAGTTTGACTCAAGAAACACCAAAGACCTAGCCACATATTGTACAGCCGCAAACTATGGTCCAGGGATCTCTGGTAGTAAAATAAATCATTACCTACCAAACTACAAGAAAGACCAAGCAACAAGTCACTAGCTATAAACTAAGGTAGAAAAGATCTCTATGATTTTTGAGTGCAGACGCATGAAAAGGTTGGAATTTAATTCCATTAACTACACAAAAGGCCAAAGTGAAGCAGCCACAAATGCAAGTAGAAAAGATTCCTAGCTTGATTTCTACTAAATGTAATATTTCCTACCATCTTTCCATCTTCCTCTATTTTGTAAAGGAAAACATTTATATCCATGCAAGGGATAGAAATAAAAGAAGAAACTTTAGATGAAGAAACTCACCAATGACTTCCACGTTGACAGATCCCTTGGCACGACCAGCCTCGTTGATGGCTGTGACAGTGTATTTCCCTGTGTCAGAGCGCAGGGCCTTATCACACACTACTGTGGTGAAGGTTTGAGTCCTGGGGGAACAAACAAAATGTATGTTGTCACAAACTGTCCATATTCCCAAATCTGTAATAATTAGTTACGGTGTATTTCCCTGTGTCAGAGCGCAGGGCCTTATCACACACTACTGTGGTGAAGGTCTGGGTCCTGCGGGAACAAACAACATGTCGCCGGTCACTAACTGTCACATTGTTTATGATCACTGGTTAATTAGTCCATGGATTTGAATAAAATTCAAGGGGATGACAAAAAACAAGCAAACTGCCATACAGTGTATAATGACCTGGGTTGTAAGGCTACTTAATGATTTCATGGACCAATTATCCACATATTTTTTTTCATAGACACATGACTTTGTACATGTATCAGTCTAATGGTCTACCACAGTAAAAGTCCTTTTTGAAGTAAGAACAGGAGTCTCTGACAAAGATTCTACATGATTGAGAATTTTACAAACCCATGATATGTACAAATGTATAAGCTGAATGTTTCCTATAATAATTCCTATAATTCCTATAAACAACACACGAACACTTTAAGTGTCTTACAGTTCGAAGTGCAGATGTTCATCAGGGTCCATCCTGACGCCCTCCTTGAGCCAGGAGACTTTAGGCGTCGGGCGGCCGCCGTAAGTCGCCTCCAGGCGGAGCGGCCGGCCGGCCTTGATCACCACGTCTCCCTCCAGGGCAAGCTCCAGGGTAGGCTCCCCTGGAAACAGTGTTTAGTGTTAGTTATCTAGACCGTAAGATGACTTCATTTATTTTGTTTAGCTAGTGCAAGCACAATTACGTTTATTGTTGTATGCAATTTGTCCTTAGTATCTTGGGCCTGTGTTAACACTACTAACAATGACTTGCTCTGGAATGTTTTTTTACTGGTCAAGGACCTGGGTTGGATCTACTGGTAAAGAGAATAAAATGAATGAAAGGATTGAAAACCAGCCTTTAGCATGAAAGTGTGTGTCTGAGTAGTTAAATGGTTTCCTGTCCATAAGTCCTTTGTGTTTGGTCTTTTGCATTTTGCAGAACTAAGGCAGAGCAGTCAAAAATTCTCCTGAGAATACACAATTTTTTAGAAAAACAATTTAGAGAAATTACTCCACTTACTGAGCGGATCCCTGGCCAGGACAGACTCGGGCAGGTTGACCCATGGGCCGACGCCCGCGGCGTTCTGCGCGTTGACGCGGTACACGTACTCCGTGCCCTCGGTCAGCCCAAGGACCGGTGTGGTCAGCACGGAAATGGGGTAGTCGTTAATGGCTCGCCACTCGCCGGGCTTGTCACACTCGGTCAGCTCAACGTTGTAGCCGATGATCTTGGAGCCGCCGTCGTCCTTCGGAGGTTTCCAGTTCAGGACCAGAGAGTCCTTGCGCGGGTCGGTGTGCTGGAAGTCAATACAGGGGCCGGGAGGATCTGGAACACACAGATAATTGTTTTTGGTCTTTGCAGTAATTTATTATACTAAAACAGTTGCAGGTGTTGTAGAATCTACTTCACATAGTACATGTATGACAGTACAACTTATAGCAATGTAAGCCAGGATTCTCTTTTGGTTGTTCCAACAGTGCCTTACCTTGATGGACTGATGGTTCATAATATTCCATGTCAGCAAGGAGATTGGTTTCATCATCATTATTTTGAAAAGAATTTATATCATGATGGTGGTATTTCCAAAGTACCTGTGTACCTAAACCTTTGGTTACAATTTGCCAGTACAACTCTGCAGGTAGCTCAATTCTTTTACCTTGCAAGCAAATTGACAACTGACAACAATTGATAACCTACCGATAGGATCCATAGCACGGATCTTGTCGATCTCGGCCGGTGGTCCCTCTCCAATCTTGTTCGCAGCATGAACCTTGTAGTAATACTCCTTACCCTCCACAAGGCCGTCCACCTTGGTTTGGGAAGAAAATATTAGGTGTTTTATTAATTGTTCATCTCATGCTCACAGCCCATATCATATTAACATTGTTACAGTAGTAGACTAAGTACTTCTTACCCTCCACAAGGCTGTCCACCTTGGGACTTATCGAGACAGCATGTGAGAATATGTACAAAATGTATCTTCCTTTATTGCTTATATCAGGCTCACAGCCCACATCATTACCATCAAAAAGACAATGTGGTCACTCCTTGAACACACAATGATTGATAATCATAGACAACACTGCACTTTTGTGGTTCATAAAAAGAAGCTGAAGCCTCTAATTGTAATCCACATGAAGAGAAATAACACAGGCTTAGCAGGCCTCTTATCCTATCTGAAAGACCTTGAAGGAATGTCTTAAATTTTCCCGACCTGCCAGAACAGCCCGTGACAGGCGTCTGTTGACTTGGACCAGAACTTGCGTCCTGCCTCGCGGAAGAAGATGAGATAGTTTGTGATGGGAGATCCACCGTCGTCCTCGGGCCGTTTCCATGACAACTCGCTATGGTTACGGCGGATCTGAGACGGGTACAGGTCAAGAGGTGGTCCGGGAACGTCTGCAAGAAAGAAAAAAATTTCTTTAATTCATGCTCGAAAGTAAAATGCATTCTAATACATACATGTAACATCCTAATCTTGAAGTAGAAGAATGCATTCCTTATTCAAATTTTTGGGTGCATGTTTAATAGTTCACATGTCAAATTATTTCAAAAATTGTCAATGAGTAAAATGTCACGAAAAGAGGTGTCAAACAACCAAGACCATTACAGGATGTTCTAAAGTTTCCTAAAACACTAAAGGCAGTTTTCCTATCTGTCAAGACTAGAGAAGGCAATGTTGCTTTATAAGATTTGAATCTTAACAATAAAAACTAAATAATCCATACCCATACAGTATCAAAGACTTGCACTCAGTCTGTATTCTGTGATTAGCTGAACTAGATATCAAATGAATATTAAAGAAGTCTGCTGTACCAAGGACTTGCACATTGCAGGGTGTCTGCTGCACCAGTTACCATGGTGACAGACATCTGGTCGAGGTCATTGACAGAACAATAATGATATGTTCGAACATAATAGACAGATTTTAAGTCTTCCATACCAAGGACTTGCAAGTGTATTCTGTGACTAGCTGAACTAGAGACATTTTTTTATTTATTGAGATTGTAACAATACAATACACGTGGAACAAAGGTAGCTGTTGCTGGTGTTGTGTCCCACACATAGAATAAATACAGGACAGACAATACTCATTTTCACTTGAGTTAAGTGAGGAAACTCGTGTTAAGTGCCTTTCCC